AAGCTGGAGGAAGTCTGGGCATCTTTGCTTAGACTGCTGCCCCCGCGACCCGGTCCTGGATAAGCGGAGGAAAATGGATGGATGGATGGAATTGTTTCTGTCATAATGAACTTTTAAGTCCAGTCGTATGAATACTTTGAAAATTTAACTCTAACCAAGGAAACATAGTTTTGGTGAACAGTGCTGTCTGACCAAGGAACCTCATGGTCAGTGCTTTGGAGCCTTGCATGTGGTCTGTATAATTTAAGACGAGGCTATGTCTTCTCCCAGGCACCAGAGTAGTCTAATACCAAGAAACAGCAACACCCACAGTCTGATTCCCAGCCGGGACCTCTGTTGTATTTCTCCTTTCTCTCACCAAGTTGTGCTTGTGAAACCAGTCTGGTGTTCTGCTCTGTTCTGTGAGTTACCAGCAGCAAAATCCGCAGAAAAGTTTTTTCATAGCTGAATTAGCTCTGGAGTTTTGATCTAGAAGACGACGATAGGTCGGTGTTGTTTAACGTAACGGACAGAGTTTATTGTTTAAAAACAGCTTGACTCTATTGATGACAGCTCTGGAAGGGTTTACATTATTATTATTTCAGGTAATCTGACTGAGATTGACATCTCTTGCAAGAGACATTGCAGGACATCAGAGAAAAACAAAACAACATACACAATAAACATAGTAGTGTACCCCCTGTTCAGTGTACCCCCCTGTACACTGAACAGGGCCAGACAAAAGCACAGCACGCATACAGCATCAGAGAGAATCACAGACATCACGTCCACGCAAACTCTGTCATCCAGTCAAACCTACCTTCTACCTAAAACCAAGTCCAGATGATTTTTTTCTATGTTTTTTTTTTCAGGTCACAGACGTCACCAAATTAAATAAAGTTTAAAGTTGTCCAGTCGGATGAGAGATTAAATTTTTAAGTAATTTATTCCATTTATGAGGTGCACAGTAGTGGAAGTGGGTCAGTTCAGGGGCAAACTGAGGTCTGCTGTGGTTTTACACCGGATACGAGCCGTGATACATCGAGGCTAGTGACATTTATAAATCAAAATGAGTAGGTCTCTTGTAATGAAGCCCAATCAGTGCTGGAAAGTAACTAAAGTACATACTTGAGTAAAGTACATTTACCTAAGTACAGTTTTGAGGTATCTGTACTTGAGTATTTTCGTTTTCAGTCACTTCATACTTTGTCTTCATAACATTTGAGGCACATATTGTACTTTTTACTTTTCCCACTACATTTATTTGATAACTTTAGCTACTTTTCAGAACCAGATTAATACAAAAATACAGTATAATTATAAGATCTCATTGATCTATGGTGAAAAACTCACAAGCGATCAGCAGTACTTCAAAATAAATGCATATAAGACCGTTAGAACCAGCTACAACATTAAATATGTTCACAATAATGCAGCAGTAATAATAATATGATATAGTTGCTCCACATGCTGTTTAAACCTGACACTACTAGTCAACTTCCCAGACATTTATGAAACTGTTTTTATATTATTATAAGCCCATTCCTGATTATTAAGTGAGACACAGAGATCTGTAAGTCATGTGAAGAGTGCAGAGGGGAATTTTTTGTCTTCATCTTTAAGCAGGAGGGAAACTGTGCTGCACGAGGAGGCGATGCAAACCTGTAACCACATCAGTCTGACCCAACAACCATCTGCTGTTTTCGCTGTTCTAGTTCAACTACACCTTCCTTTGCAACAAACACACATACCTCAAAGAGCAAAGTATACAGACAGCCTGCAACTGGGGTTTCTCAGTTTTCAGCAAAACCGACCTGCAAGAAAGCTCGGCTTCAAACACCATCTTCTCCTGAGTGGTAAGTTTTGATTTTAAAGCATTTGCAATGGCAAACAAAGCAAGAGTAACACTGGACAGATGACGGCACACATCTGTCACACTTTTGAACAAAAAAAAATCTCTGTTAAAGCTATTCAAACTGCAATTTAAAATTCAAAAGAATACTACATGCAAAACAAACAATAAAATAAATAAAAATTGATTCAGAATCCATACTGGTACAAACACTGTGGCCTATGTGCCTGGATATAAAGAAATAAAGTAATTGATTTGATAAAATTAAAACTGTTTTTATTCATCGTTGCCTAATTTGCCTAATCCTCTTTCACATATGGTTTCTAAATCACAATACAATAAAGTAAAATGTATTATTTTCAGTGTATAAAACATGGCAATGTTTCAATAATGCACTGTTTAATTTCTCTCCATGCTAGTTTTCTGCTGTAGTCGACTATGCTGGCCTTAGCTCTGGCCTCATTGAGTCTCTTGGTGTGGGCAACTGACCTCTGCCCCCCAACGTGCCAATGTCTCCACAACCTGGCCTCCATTGAATGTCAGGTAAAAGGATTAGACCAGATCCCTGAGCTGCCAGAGGGTGCAGAGGAGCTGTACGTCTCATATAACCAGATACAGGAAATACCCAGGAGTGGGCTAGAGAAGCTGCAGGTACTTTGTGTGTGATGCTTTTCAAAGTAATGCAACACTGTGGTCTGTTAGGTAGACACAACTCTACAGAAGAAAAGCCTGGGGTTACATTCTCCACATGCGCAGGTGTCTGTCTACCTGCAGCAGTAATAAACTAGCCTTTCTTTACAGGAACTTAGCATGTTTGACATATTAACTAGACACTGTGTGCATTTTATCTGACTAAAACTTTACAAAGCATGTCTTAACAAAACGTTTAGTGAGACGGATTATATAGTGTTTCACTTCTCATATAGTGAACAGAAGCCAGTGGCTGCCTGGAAAATAGGACCTTAGTCATTAGATGGACAGAAACAACTCCAAATGAATGCTAACATTTCCCTGTGCTGGATGTGTAAACTGACAATTGTTTGCCAACACATTAGCCACAACTGCACATGTATGTGAAGGTGTGTTAGCTTGTTTTAGAGGTCTTCCCCTCCAGTGATCCAAAAACAATCAACAGCTTTAAAGAGAGTGTTTAACATTTTGGGAAATACACAAATTTGCCATCTTGTGGCGAGTTAGATTAAAAGATTGGTACCACTCTCATGATGTCCATTAGCAAAATATAAAGGTCCTGCCAGCAGCCTGTTAACTTAGCTTAGCATAAAGCATGGAAACAGCTAGCCTGGCTCTAACAGGGCCTGTAGGGCTCCTTAGTTAACATGCTCTCTTTTATTTAATCTGTCCTGTTAGGTAATTTCTTAGTTAGATAGATATTGATTAGAGATCTGTTGTATTAGAAGATGTTAGTGTAGCCAGGATGTCTTCCTCAGGCTGTTAAATGCAAGGTTAGTTAAAGCAGAGAAAGGCTGCAGTCAGGGACAAATGTTATTATGACGGTAAAAGTAACCATAATATTTTTCTTAATGTGAATTGTTGTGTTACAGTGTTTTTAGATACACACCACATAATCAACATTCACACACATTATTTTCTTCATGTTTTGTCTACTGCTCTGCTCAGCTGCCAAGCTGGCATATCAGGTG